ATCAGTTAAGATGTCATTTGAGTTAAAATTACTGTTTCAACATTGACTGATGATTTTATGGATGAAATGCTTGAAATGGACCAATGCTGTAATTATATATAAAGGTTTGGGACTTCGACCACAAAAATTAAAGGTTTGAGTGTAATTTGCAATAAAATGAAAGGTTTGGGACCAGCGCTACAATTTTTTTGAGTGAAAATTATTGTTGAAACGTTGACTGACGGTTTTATGGATGAAATTAAAGACTTGAGACTGACGCTGCAACTACATATAAAGGTTTGGGACTTCGGCCACAAAAATAAAAGGTTTGGGTGTAATCTGCAATAAAATGAAAAGTTTGGGACCACAGCTACAATTTTCCCTTTTAAATATGATTAGAATTATATATTTATAATAAGAAATTTAGTTGTAATAAATTTTATCTTCTTATTCTAATATTTTGTTTAGAATATGATTTCTTTTTTTATTGATTAGAATATGATTTCTAATTTCTTTTAGATTATGATTTTAGTTTATTTCTTTTACGAATTTAATTTCCTTATACTAATAAGATTATGAAATTGTTTTGACTGTAAATACAAATGCATTGTATACTTTTTCAATAACAATAAATTATTATTCAATATATATGAGCTAAGATTGTCCAAATATCGTTCTTATTTATTATATGATTCTTATTAAAAGAATTTCAAAAAAACTTCGAATATGCTTTGATGACTTTTATATAAACTGATTCATTAAGAAACCTGTATCTCAGCTGGACTGGTCTCATGACTCTCATCCAACTTTAGTAACTACGCGATACAGAATGTTAAAATGATAATATGAGTTCTTTCCTTCTCCTTGACAAGGACAAAAACTTATTATAAAAGTTAAACAAACAAATAAGAACAAGACTCAGAGTTTCAACTCAGACTACCAAACCATGAAGATATTGATAATCTAGTTCTAGGGTGCAAGGCCTGCCTTGAGCTTCTGAATGGTGGCGACATCAGTTTTGAAAGAAAGAGCCAACACATTGTCATCAATGCTTGTGTTGAACANGTTGAACAGAGTGTTGGGAAGGGAGACAGTTCCAGCATTTGAACTCCCGAAGGCAGAGATAGCCAAAGCAGGAACTTTGGCATCAGCATTGTACTGGAAATGGACTAGTCCCTTAGGGAACACAAAGAGGTCACCAGGCTGAAGTGTTTGAGTGAAGAGCTTGTTTGTCGTGTCCACAAATCCCACCTCGAGAGCACCCTCAGCAAGGAAGAGGAGCTCAGCCGACCGTGGATGAGTGTGAACGGGGTTTACAGTACCAGCAGGGTAGATGAGGACAGCATAGGAAACACTCAGGCCATTCAGGGCAGGAAATTCTGCCATGCTTGCTTTCAAGACTTTGAAAGTCGGAGGAGGTGGAGCCCCGACAAGGACTCTCATCCCAGTGAATGTAAAGAAGTTTCCATCGACTGTTGTCAAATCTGTTGGCAATACAAAGTCTGTCAGGATATCGGGATCTCCAGCCATAGCCATTTGGACTATGGCCAGTGAAGCCACTGCTAGGAAGAGTAACTTTCTGCTATAAGCCATTGATACAATTGCAATCTATTGGATAGAGATATGAATTTGATTCAATTTTGTCGAAGCTAGGCCTTCTTATAGGAGTTTTGCTGAAAATATTGTGATAAGGGCTAAGGGGTCGTACATTCCAAAGCCCTGCTGAGTAGATGACAGGCTGCATTAAACTACCAAATGACTCTTGTAATTGCAGTTGTTTTATAGCCCTATTAGGCTAATGAAGTTTCTTAGAATATCTTCACGGCGTAAAAAAGTTTTAATATTTAGGTTTCCACACATTTTTGTTTCATTTTGTTTCTTTTCATTGTCAATACTTCACCATCTTGGATGGAAATGAGGGTCGATTTTCGGTCCAACTATGCTATTGGCTGCAATTTTATTACTTTTGTATCTAACAATGTTGCAGTTTGTTGTTGAAACTACAAAATATTAACTTGGATTATGGTGGGAGTTTGTGCAGGCTTGATTTGTAGGGAAATTATACCCAATTTTCATCATAATATGAAAGCAAAAAACGTGTAATTAAATTGAAGGCTCCAAGGCGGTGAAAGTATATGGACTAGAGAAGAAGAAACAAATAAAATACTCCAAGGATTAGATTAACTTTGTAGAAGGAAAGCACAAAATGTAGATATACCTGGTTTTAATAAAATTGAAGGATATGTATTTAGTGAAGATCAAGGCATGGCCGGCCAATCTAACCCCAACTTGGATTGTTCGGGATACAGCCGGTTGTACAATAAACACTATAAATGAGAAGTACTCGAGTTTCCTCAAATCACAATAACTAACTCAATACCGAGTGGCCTCATTGCATCACTGCCTTCATTGAACCAACTTACCAATACAATG